TAGGGATATTTTTGGGTTTTGATGTTTCTTGCTGAGTTTGGGGTGTATAGGGGTTGTTTGACAACGGGCTCTGTGAGAGCTCTGGAGGTGGAGAGCTACGCTCCACAGGGCTTTCTACTATCAGAGTACTTTTCCCTGATACTTCACTACTATACTGTATTACATTAAAATGTTCTTGCGTTGTAGTGTGTTTTTTCGTATGATAAGTATACTGGCAGGTGTTCCAGAGAGCTGGGGCTTCGGCCCAAGCGTTCTTAAACTCCTGGAAGAAACGGGGAAAAGCCTTTGTCCCATCCTCCCCCACCCCCCCCCCCCCCAGGGTTTTAGGGTTTAGGGTTTAGGGTTTAGGGTCCCCCCCCTCCCCCCTCTGCCCCTGTCTGCGGTCAGTCACTTTGCTGACATCTGGCCAAGCAATACTCCGCGCAGAGGAATTCCTGCAAACGCCCTAAACCCTAAACCCTAAACCCTAAACCCTAAACCCTAAACCCTAAACCCTAAACCCTAAACCCTTGTTGAGACTGTGGCTTGCTGACTACTCGAGAGACCCTCTCGCATCTGGCCTGCTGCGACCCTTTTTGCCCTCAAAGCCTCAACCCTGAACCTCTAAACCCTCTAAACCCTAGAAACCCCGAAACCCAAAGACCCTATATACCCCCCAAAACCCCTAAACCCTAAACCCCAAACCCCTAAACCCTAAACCCTAAACCCTAAACCCTAAACCCTAAACCCGAAATTGCAATTTCCGATGAGCCCTCGAGTTGCTTGTGATCAGGGGAAGTCGCCACTTCAGGCGTCGGGGTTTAGGGTTTAGGGTTTAGGGTTTAGGGTTTAGGGTTTAGGGTTCAGGGTTTAGGGTTCAGGGAGAGTGTAGGGTTTTTGGGCTTAGGGTTTTTGGGGGCTTCAGGGTTTTGGGGCTTTAGGGCTTTTAGGGTTTTGGGGCTTTGGGGCTGTCAGGGCTTTCAGGGCTTTCGTCGCTCACTCTCGCACACCGGAAGCCTATGGAAGACATCCTTGCGGCTCACCCTTCCTAGGGTTTAGGGTTTAGGGTTCAGGGTTTAGGGTTTAGGGTTCAGGGTTAGGGTTCAGGGTTCAGGGTTCAGGGTTTAGGGTTTAGGGTTTAGGGTTCAGGGTTTAGGGTTTGGGATTTACGGGGTAAGGGTTGAGGGTACACTCTGATCCCGATTCTTAGATACTTTTTGGCCCTTCATGTGGCGGAGTCCTGGAAGGTGAGGTGCGCAAATCGGAAGGTATCCGCGCCATCCTTCTCGATGCTGGGGTTTGGGGTTTTGGGGTTTAGGGTTTAGGGTTTCGGATTTAGGGTTTCGGGTTGAGGGTTGAGGGTTTAGGCTGGGGGTTTGGGGTTTGGCGTTTGGGGTTTAGGGCTGAGTTAGGGTTATGGGTTTAGGGGTTTAGGGTTTAGGGGCTTCAGGGGGTCTGGGGTTTGGTTTGGGGCTTAGGGCTGAGTTAGGGTTCTGGGAGTTTAGGGGGTTAAGGTGGCTTCGAGGGAGCTGAGGGTCTGGGTAGGACTTGGGTTAAGGAGGGTCACCCTACACCCTAAACCCTAAACCCTCAACCCTATGGGGTATAGAACTTTGGGTCAGAAAACAACCATGGGCAACCCCTGAAACCCTCAACCTTCCGATGCTTCATCCCCCAAGAACCTAAACCCCAATAGTTGAGGGTTTCGTTGACAGCCTCCATTGTTTCGGGGGGAAGGGGGGGGTACCCTAAACCTCAAACCCCAAAACCCCACACCCCCAACCCAAAACCCCCAATCCTAATCCCTAAACCCTAAACCCCAAACCCCAAACCCTAAACCCTAAACCCTGCTTCTTGCAAGCAACAAAAACAGTAGCCCTACCACCTCAGCTCGCACGGAGCGCCTCGGAGAACCAGGTCAACACAGGCAGCTGCCCCTTCCTTCCGTTGGCTCCATGGCGGGTTTCGGGAATTTGGGGGATTTGGGGGATGCAGGGTTTAGGGTTGAGGGTTTAGGGTTTAGGGGATTTCTTTGCCGCCCACCTAGCTGAACTGAGCGGCCACATTGCAGGGTTCTGGCTCGATTTCCCTTGAGAACAAAGTGAGGGCATTCCTTTCGAGGCTCCCGATGGAAAACTTCTTGCGAGAATTTGTCTACTTTTCAAATTTTTAAATTTAGGGGATTTAGAGTTTAGGGTTTTTAGGGGGTAGGGTTTGGGGTTTATATAGGGTTTACGGTTAGGAAAGGGGCTTAGGGTTTGGGGCACGCAACGCTGGAGTCGTGGGTGGTGGTGAGGATCATCCAGAGGTTTAGGATTTAGGGTTTAGGGATTACGGTTAAGGGTTTGCAAGAACCTTTGGGACCAAATGAACCCTGAGATTGGGGTCATATACCCTCTACCACTAAAACCCCCAAAAATTATACGGTATATGAACCATAACAACCCTTTTAGGATTTGTGATCCCCCAAGGAGCTTCAACCGATTCAAAGCCAAGTGGCTTGATGACGTCTTCCACGGCAGCCCAATCATTCACGCTGAAGTCGTTGGGGAGGCAGCAGGTCCGGATGGCCTCCGCCGACACGCGCGGCGAAAAAACACAGTCTGCGGGCCCAAAACCTTACATTCCTGCCGGCCTCAAGCCTGAACCCAAGCAGAAGATTTAGTATGTTGTACAAAGAGGTAAACAGGCTGTATATACCAGTGCTTTCGGCATGGTCCCCTTCAGAGTTGCCATCCCAACTCCAAAACAAGCAAAGAAAGACAGAAAAGAAGAACGAACGACACAGAAGGAAAGAACTAAAGACGACACAAAGAAGTGACGGCATAAAGGAACACTGCGCAGAAAGAAGGACAGAAATAAATACCTGAAAGACAAAAAACCAACAGATCGAGAGAAATTGCAAATCATTCAAGTCAGGAAAAAAGCAACAGAATGACCCGCAGCAAGAAGGAAACAACAGAGAAACAAACAGACAAGAGAACAAAACACCAACAAAAACAATCAGGCACGTACAAAGCGCAACACTGAGATTTACAGTGTTTTGGCATCTGTGCGCCTCTTTGTACAGAAAGCTGTACCTGGGACCCTCTAGGGCAGTTACCGCTTAACCGCAGGTGAATAGAGCCCCAGGTCAGGAATCAACACTGGGTTTAGGGTTTAGGGTTTAGGGTTTAGGGTTTAGGGTTTAGGGTTTAGGGTTTAGGGTTCGGGTTTAGGGTTTAGGATTTGAAGCAGTGCGAACTCTTTGGATACTTTTATTGGGATGTTCCCCATTATACTAAAAGTCCTGAACAGGATTGTAATAGGACCTAGCATCCCTATTCAGGACTGTTAGTATAAGGGGGAACATCCCAAGATACCTCTTTGCTGTTGTTTGAAGGTGCCAGCTGCCACGGGCAGAGGATTGCACTAAGGCTCCGCCTGCCAGTTCTTGAAGAGGAAGCCTAGGGTTTAGGGTATAGGGTTTAGGGTTTACGGGTTCGTGTCAAGGCCTTTAAAATTTGGTGTACCTGCGACCTACCAGGAGGGATGTTTTTTTTGTTCTCTCATTTCGACGCCTAAGTCCGGCTTGATTGTGTGTGGCATCGCATGTCCACAGTGCAAAGAAGCGCAGCAAGTTGGGATGTACTAACATTCTTATTAGGGCTCATAATAGGGGGTACTATAATCCTATTAAGGACTCTTGGTAGAAGGGGGGGCACGCAACAAGCCACTCTGCGCTACCGGGCCTTCTCGATCAAGGGCCGCCGGAAATCGCGAATACCCCTGCCTCCGAGGCGTTGGGCTGAATCTTGAGGGGTATAGTGCCTATATACCTAAGTAGCCCCTGGATAACACCCAAATAACCCCTAAGGTCCCTTGTAATGGTCCCTCCTTTAGTCCCTTGAGAATCAGCTGCCCGTCCACAATTTCTCATTCTATCTTAGATGGAAGCAATGCCCGGCCAAGCCGACGACAATGAACGTAGCAATCGCAGACGAGCCATCAGAGAAGGTCCAAGAACTGTTGTTGGCCAATCTAAGGTTCCCGGAAAAGCCCTCTCCCTATGCAACCCTACGTCTCAAACCTTGTGCTAGAGTCAACAGTAACCTAGGAAGAACAAGGGTACCTTTTTGGTTGAAAGGGTCGTATGCCAGAACCGGAACCCTAAAAACAAGGGAATGAGGGCCTACTCTGGGTCTTGGGTCTAGTACATCGTCTTCTGACCGAACGCCCATGTTGGCCTCCGTTCTGCGAGTGAGCCTCGAACGCAAGGCCTGAGGTGTTTCGGGTCTTTATACCTTCGTGGCTTTCAAACTCCGTGCTTCACAGTACACCCAAGACCCTAGGCCCTCAACACCAAACTAATCTCCTTTAGAACTCAACTCCTACCTCCTCAACTGGCATGGGACTAATGTAGTCCTCAACCACCAAGAATTACTCAAGGCCCTGAACCCTCAGCGTGCACTGATGCCAAGGAAAGCATGCCCAAAACAAAATTTGACTGCTTGAAGTTTCGATGAGTCTATACAGTAAGTTGGTAGGGGCGCAGTATGCTGATCTGGAGGACGATCTAGCGGTATGGTTGTCCATTAAGGCCGCAAGTATGAACAAAACTGCAACAGGTGGCAAGACCCCAAGCTCAGCGAAAGCCCATGGCGCTCGGTAAAAATATATGTAGCCTTCAGCCTGTGAATGATCACATGCAACCCTGATGATCTCGGAGAACTCGCTGCAAATTTTCGCGGAGATCTCGCTGTAAAATTTCGCAACGCCACTATACTACCCTCTACCCTACATGGGGGGCTTCCGAAAATACGAATTGTAATCCTCTATAGACTATATGGGGGGCTTCCGAAAATACGAATACCCCTCATTTCGGAAACACCCATGTGTAGGTCAAATCACCAGACCAAGCCGCATGGGACTGACCATCTTTAGGTTAGGCGTCGGGGAAGCACCACGCCACACTTGAGCTGTTTGATAGGGTGCTCCTCTCAAACAAGATTGTCTGAACAAGAGCTTCCCGAGTTGAGTAGTCAGAGCTTTGGAGTCTGTGAGGGGTGCTTCAGCATCGACATTGGGCGCGTGCTGGGCTTTACCTGAATCCCACAGCCCTGAAGCACAGGTTTGTTGTTTGAGCTAGGGTTCTCCTTAAACCCTAAACCCTAAACCCTAAACCCTAAACCCTAAACCCTAAACCCTAAACCCTAAACCCTAAACTCATACTATTAGGGTTAAGGTTTTTCGGGCGGTTTAATTAGGGTTTAGGGTTCAGGGGCTACAGGAATCCGTTTGTCAAACGAAGGCCCCCCAAGTAGAAGTCCATGCAACCCTTGCCCTAAACCCTAAACCCCAAACCCCAAACCCCAAACCCTAAACCCTAAACCCTAAACCCTAACCCTAAACCCTAAACCCTTGCAGCCGTGAAGCTTTTCAGAACCGTGCGGAGGCTGGAGGCACGAATGCCCTCTGACACATCCGAGCCACCTCACTTTAAATGGGTAGATAAGGGGCTTCCTGGGGTCCTCAGCAACACTCTGCCCCTCTTGGGCTGGAAAAGCGCTCAGGGGGTACGTAGCTGTAGGATAGAGATCCTAGATCTGCAAGCTTCCAAGCAAGGTTGAAGGGCCCTTGGGGCAAAGTCGGCGAGAGCCAAGATGCTCGAAGCCTTTTTCTTCTCCTGGGCGTGAGCTGGAGTTTAGGACCCAACCCACACGCCCCAAACCTTTTGTTGAACCCTGAACCGTAAACCCTTGCTTAAGCACGGACTGAGGAACCCTAAACCCTAAACCTTAAGCCCTTAAACCCTTTAATTCCTTAACCTAGCCCCGCCAGGCCGTGCACTACTCGGGCCCTTACACCCGAAAGCCTGACTATGCAGGCCCTTTTGCAATCAAGGTGTTCATCGGGCTGGTCATCTTTACAAAGGAACCCAGAAACCCGACAGGGTTACAATACAGCACCGGACTTCCTAAATGAAATACTGAGTTGTGCCTTCAAACACTTTGAAAAAACTATGAATAGGCTCCCCTTATGAGAAAAGAAGCGGAGTTTACAAACCATGTCCCAATGCACAACCCAGAAAATGATGCTTTGACAGCTCCATGTTACACCAGGCCTCTGCTCCAGCCCCTCTTCTCTGGCTTCCTTCTACTGTACGAAGAAGCCTCTATTCATGGACCTGTATCAAAATCTGTATACAACATATGAAAGCGCTTCTCTTCATAGATACACGCCCACAGAGAACAAGTGTGTGCCGAACAACGAACAACGAACACTACAGCTACCACAGGCCTAGGTGGTTAGCTGCTCCCATTGGGATGTTCCCCTTATAAGAAAAGTCCTTGCAAAGGGATTATAATAGGGGGTGGGGGGGGGGAAGGGGTACTATCATCCCTATTAAGGACCCTAAACCCTAAACCCTAAACCCCAAACCCTAAACCCTAAACCCTAAACCCGGGACTGTTGGTACAAGGGGGAAACATCCCAATGCTCCCACATGCTGAGACCAGCCGCGAGGTTGTGCAGCATGCCATCCAGAGCAAGGCCGTAGACACGGCCTGGCTTTGGGTTTAGGGGTTTAGGGGTTTAGGGGTTTAGGGGTTTAGGGGTTTAGGGGTTTAGGAGTTTAGGGGCTTAGGGGTTTAGGGGTTTAGGGGTTTAGGGTTTAGAAGTTTAGGGATTTAGGCTTGCATGTAGGCCGCAAGAGCTGTTTCGCTCCCACACATCGGGTGTAACGCAGCCGGGCAATGTTACCACCTTAGATCCCTAAAAAAGACCCCCAAACAACCCAGCCCTAAAACAACCAATGCTCATGCAAAATGGGGTTTTAGGGTCTAGAGTCTAGGCAGGTCCTTGGGATACTGGGTAGCGGCCATGGGCCCCAGCCCTCCACAACAAACTCATTGTTCGGCTCTCACGAGATAGCCAGGTAGACATCGGACCATGTAAGAAAAAAGCGCCGCCCTGTGACTTGATTCCCTCTCCATGAACTCAACCCTAGCCCTAAACCCCAAACCCAACCCTAAACCCTAAACCCGAAACAGCTTTTCGCCCCCAAGCTGGCAGGAGACCTCGGTTCAAGGATCGTCCGCGGAGCTCGCCACTCGACTCATAAACCGAGAGGGTGACGTTCAGGAGAAGCGGATTCCTGGGCTGAGCAAGAATCCAGTTGGTGGCCCCAGGGTTTAGGGTTTAGGGTTTAGGGTTGAGTCCAGTTGGGGGTACCTTATTGGGGTCCTATTGTAAGGGGATCCTATTACTTTTGAGTCGATATTGGGGTCCCCTATTTTCGTAAACTCCCAGTTGATGGTCTTAGGTTTTTGTTTTGTGCCGGGTCCCCTGTTTTCTTACACCCCACATGAGGAGAGAGATCAAAGGCTAGGGAGACAGACCCTGCTTTCCACGCATGCTGCATCCAGTGATGTTATAAACCCTTAGGGTTTTGGGTTTTGGGTTTAGAAAGAAGGATCGCCTGTGGTGGTGGGGGGAACATTTAGAATGAGGGGTTCATGCTGTAAGCGATTCCTACAAGAGGGTTCTACTTCAGGCCAGTTCTTAGAAAACCAAAGCCTCCACTTCAAGAGCAGTAACGTGATGTACTCAAAAGGTCCCAGTGTTCCAGGCTCTTTGTCTGGGAGGACCCCACGTTTCGAGTAACAAGGTGCGCCCAGAATGCAGGAGGTGTTGGGTGCACTTCATGCAGATAGCCACAAACCATGGTTCAACCCTAAATCCTGAAATCAGTTCTTTTGTTTTCGCTCAACCCCTTAAACCCTTGCACCATGAATCCAAAACCATACATCCTAACCCCCAAAGCCCTGAAATCCTAAACCGTAAACACCATAAGAGCCCTACCTGAGACTTGACTTCAAGGGAGCAAGCCACGGAGTTGACGCAACAAAACACATGCTGCCTGAAATCGCAATCCCTGAGGGTTGATCAGGGTTTGGGTTTTGTGGTTTAGGGTCAGGAAGCCCTAAATGACCCTCTCTGCCTAAAAATGCCAGGGTGCCTTGTCATCATGCAAAGTGCAGGATTCAAGGTCAACTGGGTGCAGAAAGCCTCCACAGCCTGTTTCCGGGCTGAGCATTGCGCGCTTGGGGTGTCTGCCGTGATGTCTAAATTCGCTTCTAACTCGGTGTGTGGGGTTTGGTGGCGGGGCAAAGTAGAAAGCATTGAAACACACCCCTTGTTTCATATGGAAAAGTCCACAGGCAAGGTGCTTGCATCCGTGCAGCAAAGCATACTGGGCCTTAATAATTTGCACAGGTGTGTTGACTTCTTGTTGGGGCAAGGGAGGGAGGGGTATTATAGCATTATTATAAAGGGACCATAAGGGAATACTGTCAACAAGTATTCCGACCCCTATGTAACATTCCGGGAGGGCTCCGAGGGCTTCTTGGCGTCCACTCCGACATGCAGAGCGCTTGACATGTGCCCCTCCAACCCTAAACCCTAAACCCTAAACCCTAAACCCTAAACCCTAAACCCCAAACCCTAAACCCTAAACCCTAAACCCTAAACAAGAGCCTCGGGCGACGCCAACCTGCGCTGGATGACCTGTCGTCTTGCTCGGCCCGGAGGTGTGCATCTTAGGGTTTAGGGTTTCGGGATATAAAAACGCAATGCAAAACTGTATGATTACACTTGCACATAAGTACATGTGATGCCGCAAATATGCATAGAAATAAGCTCATTTCTTTTCTGGTGCGCCTCAGGCCGGTTCTGATAGCTGACATGGTATTCCCTTATTCCGAAACCATTTGCATTTTCTACGGTTTCGGGTTGGGTGTTGTGGGCTTTCTACCGGGTGGGGCATGCTCTGGTGTTGTGTATGTTGTTTTCTATGGGGGTATGAGTAGTGTGGGTTCTTCAGGTGAGTCTTGGGTTGGGGTTTTGTGGTGGGTTGGAGGTTGAGGTACAGGTTGTTGTGGTTTGGGTGCTAGGGATGGGGCATGAGAAAATGAAGTAACGAAGTGGTCTCCACCAACTGGTTTTAGCCCGACGTGGTCCCGCAGGGAAAAACCCAAATCGCCCAATCACACATGCAAAGCTTCGCAGAAAACCCTCGATTTTTGCAAGCATGACTCTGAGAGCACACCACAAACATGGAAAACCCTACCCTGACTCCGAAACACACTACAGTAGGGGCCTGAATGATTAGAATAGGGTTTCCCGGGGCGTTTGCAAGTAATATTTATATAGGGACCATACGGGAAGAATATTCGTGATTATTCCGACCCCTATATTCTACACGAACTCTATGCGTCAGAACTCAACAAGAGAGAGAACAACAGGGTTTTAGGGTTTAGGGTTTAGACTTTCCCTCGTGCACAAGGCCCAGTTTGATGCACACCTGCCGTCGCTGCGCTTCATTGAGCTCCTTGACCCTGACCACCGTGCAAAGCATGGGGTTTAGGACTTCGGCCGAAAAAAACGATGTTTCTGAAGCTCAAGGGTTTGGGTGGTGAGTCGGGCCAGGGATGCTTGTTGGGAGGCAAGATGATGCAACAGCTGAGGGGCCACTTGTGTAGAGTGTCGATGCTGTCCAGGTCGCTCTACGTCAGAGTGCGATACCCATCGGGAATCTGACTCTGTTCAGGAACACAAGGCCGCCCCAAACCCCCCTACACCCTACACCCTAAACCCTACATCCTAAACTCTGAAACCCTAAAACCCTACACCCTCTGCTTCCTGAAGCTGCCACGACACGGTAGACTCACTTCAAATCTGCTCTCCACTCGCCACAAAGGCAGCAATCGACACCTGAACCCAAGCCCAACTTGCCAACACAACCTCCAAACCCTAAACCCTAAACCCCAAACCCCAAACTCCAAACCCTAAACCCTAACCCCCCCCCCCCCCCCCCCCCCCCCCCCCCCAAAAAAAAAAAAAAAATGCCACCCTGAACCCTAAAACCCCGAAACATTGTTTGGCCTGACTGTGCGAAAGCGACCAAAGTCCGGCCCAGACAGCACGCCGCTCATCTCCCGGGATGTGACCTCGAGGAAACTGTTGCACGTCTAAGGTTCATAGGGTTTGAGGTTTGTAGGGCTTACAGGGCTTACAGGGTTTACAGGGTTTATAGGGTTTATAGGGTTTATAGGGTTTATAGGGTTTAGGGGTCGTGTTTCATTGCTGCTAAGCTGGCTGCCACATGTCCCTCGGCTGTCGGGTGCTAACTCTCGGACGGTCTCTATTTGCTGACTGCTCCGCTTTTTGCTACCCGTCTAGCGATGCTCCACGGGGCAACTGCCTAACTGCTCTTAGGGTTTAGGGTTCAGGGCTTGGGTCGAAAGAGCAACTCTGTGGCTGGCTTTGCGAACAAGCTCGAGTGACCTTGTGGCCGACAAGTCTAGCAAATAGTCTAGCACAATTAGACATGTCAGAGCACCGAAAGGGCCGGAGAAAGCAAGTGAGTGATAGCGACGATAGCGGCGCTAGTAAACATTAAGGGGTAAGCCAGGGGGATTCAGAGGCGATCCACTGGAAGACAGGCAGGCCGTGACCAGTTTACTGCCATTCTTGCTGTGACTGTGCTCCACAGAAGCACCGCTCATCACAAATACTGGAAAATAGTAAAACAATGTAATATAGCATCATATAAAATATAAGAAAACCTTGCAAGAAATAGAATATGCTATAATGCAATATTCAATAAAACATAATGGTATATTTTTGTAGGCTTCACGACTCTCTAGAAACGGCACGGGGCATTTCAAGCGTTTAGGACGCCCCTCCCCCTTCGCAAAATTGCTCATGTCGCAATGCGCTGTTTCCGAGTCCCGTTCGTACGTTGCGGAGGCATGCACTACCAGGATGAAATCTTGTAACACTGAAAAACGGCCCTTTATAGGTTTGATCATGGGGATTCTAAGGCCTAGTAGCCCATCCTGGTACCCGAAACCCACTGCAGCGAAAAGGCAATCAGAAACACTTCTGGGGAAGGCAACTAAGAACCAATAACCCATCCGGGTACCCCAAAACAAACCCATCGCAGCACAAAAGGCTATCAGAAACACCCTAAGCTAATCAAACGGCTTAGTAGCCCTTCCGGGTACCCCAAAATAAAGTCCATTGCAGCTAAAAGGCAATCAGAAATACCTCGCTGTTCAGCGTCGAGGAGATTTGCTTCGCGAGCTCGCCTGAGCGAAGGATCCGGAAGTCCGGAAGACTCCGGCGGGTCAAGGACCCAGTACATGGCACTGCTGAGATCTATGCCCTGTGCCCTGTGTCGCCTTGAAACCCTTACTAGGGCTTAGGGTTTATGGGTTTCGGGTTTAGGGCTATCAATAGCCAAAACCCCCAGTTGTTGCTTCAAAGGCTCTCTCCAGATGTCCAGCCTCATCGAAGCCATCCAGCAGAACGAGGAGGCGTCCCTCCCATTCGGTGCAACTCAAACCCTCCCAAACCTCCCGAACCTCCCAAACCCTAAACCCCAAAGCCTACAAACCGTCTTGCACAGGCTTGTCCCAGCGCGCCTGGTCGAGCGCGTCGCTCACGAAAACCCTAAACCCTATAAACCCTAAACCCTAAACCCTAAACCCTAAACCCGAAACCCTAAAGCACTCCGAAACCTCCCATATACGCCCTGGATCCTAAACCAGCTTCTCGCTTGGATGGTCCGCAGTGCTTAAGCTCGAAGCAGTAGCTTGGCCCAGATCCGTCACCCAACTTCATCTTGTAAACAACCTCAACAAGCCCTGAGCCCTCCCTAAACCCTAAACCCTAAACCCTTTTGCAACAGGCTTCGTACCTCGCCTGGAGCGCGAAAAAACCCTAAGCCCTAAACCCTGAAACCCTAAACCCCCGACGCCTCGCAGCCCCGCAAAAGCCCTAAACCCTAAACCCTAAACCCTAAACCCTAAACCCTAAACCCTAAACCCCAAACCCTAAGTCGGGAATCAGCTCTGAGGCCTGTTGCCGCGCAAGCTCCAAGAGCTCCAGGGTCGGCGTGTCCTCAGCAGCCCACAGTTCTGAAGAACTCGGGTTTAGGGTTTAGGGTTTAGGGTTTAGGGTTTAGGGTTTAGGGTTTAGGGTTTAGGGTTTCGGGCTTGGGGTTTAGGGTTGAGGATTTGGGGTTGAGGGTTGAGGGTTGAGGGTTTATAGTGTTCATAGAGTTTATAGGGTTTATAGGGTATATAGGGTTGAGGATTTATTTGGTGTATGGGGTCTAGGATTATAAGGTTTATAGGCTTCAGGGTTGATGGGGTTGAGGTTTGAGTGTCCTGGGAGGCCGTAGCTGTATTTCTGGGACGGCCCGGCCCTTCCCAAAACCCTGTGGCCCTATGTAGACGGCGGGTGCCCTACCGCTGCGGTGTATATAAGGACAAAATGAATCTTAAGGGCCAGAAGGGACTTCAAGAACTCGGTGCGAGTTTTGGGATGCAAATACCCGATAATTTCCCTACTAAGCACCCGTAGGAAATCGCTCTGGGCGCAGGCAGAGGAGCTTTGTAGACCATGGCCAGATACTGTTTGACCTCGGCTGCGAACGCGTGTGAGCCACTCTTGAACGCTGATCCCCAGACCCTTTCTATCTCTGTTAAGGGACTCAAGGAGGGAGCCCTAAACCCATAACCCTAAACCCTAAACCCTAAGGTTTCTTTGGGGGTTATAGGGATGTTGGCAGACTCAAGTGAAGAAAAGGAGCCATGTCCCTCCCATCGTCGCAGAAGGAGCTGTGGCAGCGGACGAGATCCTCGGCTGCATGGGCTCTTATAGGGTTACAGGGTTGTTGCTCCCTCCTTTGATTTTAGGGTTTGGGAAGCCTTCCAGGGATTAGGGTTTAGGGTTAGGGTGTAGGGGCTTTATTCCCTCCTGCACAGTGGGTCTGCTTTCTCCAGAAATCCATGCAAACAGGTTTAACAACCCGGAAGGCTAAGCGCTTGCAAATCTCAGGTACTCGAGCCACAGGAAACGAAAGCCAAGCCCTGACCACCCTGACGTCCTTGCCCGTCCGAGTCAAAGCCCCCGAAATCCCAAGGACTCGAGGCTAAAGAATCAGGGTCCGGAAACCCCGAACCCGACAGCATTGCAGAGGCTCAGAGAAGCATCGATTTACGACTGCTCTGCTTGGCAGAACCTCCCCCCACGTCCCAAGCTGGCCTTGATAAAGGGTTGCGAATCCCTAATCCCTAAACCCTAAACCGCCATAACAACACCACCATCACCATCCTTATGTGGCCATGTTCGTAGCCCATTTACTACTCCGTGGTTTTCCTCGCTGCTGTTAGCTGTTGACCAGGGTGCTGGTTGAATCCCAAATGGCCTCTCAACATGCTAGGGTCCTGCTCTGTGCACCAAGGAAAGGGACGAAAAGAGAAGGATAAAGGATGAACCCCAGGCGTTTATGGTCGAACGGGTTTTAGGCTTCTTGCCTTTCTTTGAAGGGGTTTGGGGGTGGGGAGGGGGGGAGGTTCCACACCCCCGTTGTGGGCTTTTATCGCTTTTCGGGCTTTCGGGCTCGGGGTTTCATGCCGGTCTTTAGAGATTTTTTGTCGCTTGCGTCTGTGGTGGGTCGCAGTCCGCTGGAAGGCACCCCCAGCTCCAAACCCTAAACCCTAAACCCTAGACCCTAGACCTTAAACCCTAAACCCTAAACCCTAACAGAAAAGAGGCATGCTCAAAGTTGGGCCCCCTCCAAGCCCCCCGAAATCCCACCTGAACCCCACAAGCTGCAAATACCACCCTTTTTCCGACCCGAGCCCAAAACCTCCATCCTCTAAACGCCCCGAAACCATATACAAATCCCACAACCCCCCCGAAAAAAAAGCCAAGCCATCAGAAACCCAGTAGAACCCCGCCCTCGACCCTCAACCTTAACCCCCCTCACCCCCCCGCCCCGCGCCACCATCCCGGGCTCCTCCCGCTGAGCGATATGTTCCAAGCTCAAAGACATGGCTGCTGCTGACTGTCTTGGGTAGTTTCCGTGATCTTTATATGGGGGGGGGGGGGGGGGTTCCGAAATTAGGGGTACCCTTTTTGGGGGTCCCTTCTAAGGGGGTTCTATTCCATTTTGGGTACAAAGGGGTACTCCTACTTTGAGCCATGCCCATATCGGGGTTTTACAGAGAACAGACTCCATAAACCCGGAACCCTAAACCCTAAACCCTAAACTGGACCGGCTGTCGGACTGGAAGGTGGATTCTGTGGCTAGTCTTTACAAGCCAAATCGGCTTCTGCAAAAAAAAACGGGAAAATCGCGGAAATTCACTGAAACGCAAGCCCAGCAAAAACTATTGCCTCGTACATGAAGCCAAACCCTAAACCCTAAACCCTAAATTTAAACCTTGACCCTAAACCGTACATGTGTGGGGAGAGCTGCAAGAATCACTGCTGACTGCCGCTGTGATGCGATGGTCCGAACCATTACAGGCACCAGCCAGGCAGTTTCCTTCTCCCTCCTGGCCACAACAAGCAAGGCGAAAAGGGTTTAGGGTTTAGGGGTTAGGGTGATTTTTGCGAAAACACCTGAAATAAGTGTACCCTACCTGGTAGGGTACCTAGGAAGATTTGCAAGCGAGCCGCATGATCCACGTCAGCAGCTGCTTTGCCTCTGCGTGCTGAGTGAGTACTACACCAAGTGGAGCAGGGCCCACAAGACTCTCGGGGCTTGGGCTTCTGGAAGGGTTTGGGATTCAAAGACTCCCCAAACCCCAAACCCTAAACCCTAACCCCTCCCCCCCCCCCCCCCCAAAAAAAAAAAAGAAAAAAGAAGAGAGGAACATCCCAAATCGCAGTCAAAGGTGCCCTTGTCAAGAAAACACGCTCGGCACGCATGCTGAAACCCCGGTGATGCGTCGATTTGCCCTCAACCCTAAACCCTAAACTCTATAAACCCTAACCCCCCAAACCCTGCACCAGCCCCGGATCGGTGCCCTGAGCGCCGGACGAAAGTCGTCTTGCCGCCTGCCGGATCGCCCTTAACCAGAAGCCTGAGGCTTGAATGGTCGGAGGCTTCAACAAGCACCAACAACACCAAACAATGACCGGTTTAGGGTTTAGGGTTTAGGGTTTGGGGTTTAGGGTTTAGGGTGACCCAAGAGTAAGCTCGGAATAAACCAGGGTGCCCTGTTTTGGCTTAGAAGGGAACCCAGACCCTTAAAAAAGTGAATTAGGGCCCACTCTGGGTCCTAGACAAGCACGAATGTGAGTTCCCCGCAGCCCTAAACCCTAAACCCTAAACCCTAAACCCTAAACCCTCTGAGAAAGGGGCTGGCAAGTTTTGAAGGTGCCTCTGGGCTTGTCCTCGGCCATGCTGCGGGAAAGTGCGGGGCGTTTTTGGGCTTTCTAGGATTTCTAAAGGTTTAGGGTTTAGGGTTTAGGGTTTAGGGTTTAGGGTTTAGGGTTTAGGGTTTAGGGTTTAGGGTTTAGGGTCGAGGGTCGTTGGGCCTCAGTTGTTAGAAATGTCAAAAACATCCGCTCAGGGTCCATGTACCCCATATAGTATATACTTGGGCCTCAGAAGGGGTTCCCATACAGTAGCTTTAAGGCCCAAGTATGTACCACATAGGCACATGGACCCTTAGGGATTGTAAACAACATAAAGGGGTCGTAGTCCCGAGTGTCGCGGTGTGTTTTGGTGACTTTAGTGATGAAAGAAGAGCCTGTCATATTCACACCACTGCACAACGTGTGGATGCAAATAGGACATAACCCTAAACCCTAAACCCTTAAACCCTATGCCCAGTTGGTTCATCCATCTTGGACCAGACTCCACCCTCTGCCGGGCACCCAAGCTCGAACCAAAGCTCCACCAACTGGTCCCCAAACCCTAAACCCTAAACCCCAAACCCTAAACCCTAAACCCTAAACACTACACTCTAAACCCTAAACCCTGAACCCTAAACCCAAAGCGACTCGGACCCAAAAAACAAACTCCGAAGGGGTTCGGGCGTTGCAGGGCCCAACTCTTGTGTCACATCCTCTTAATCCGGTTTAGGGTTTAGGGCTTGAGGCCCTGGTTGGGTTTGGTTGAGGAACCCACCATGACAGCCTTAACTCAAACGGCAAGAGCCGAGCCTCAGCTTAAACACCCCTAACACCTAGACTCCCTCCACTCCACGCCCAACAACAACCCTATAAGAATCTAAAGGAGGGACCCTTATAATCGGGTAACAAGATTAAGGGTCCCTTCTAGGGGTCCCTCATGGTCCCTCCTTATACCCCTTAAGAGAGGTTAAGATGTGTGTTTAACCGGGTGTCTACGATCACAGGGGACCCCTAACATAGACCGTCACGTAGTAGGATCCCCTGAAGAAGAAAACGAGCCCCAAAAGGGTACCCCTCACATCGTAAACCCCCATATCTTGGTAGCCCAGTAGCCATCTTAATATAACGGCACCCTTTTTTGGGTTGGTTGTCTTATAAGGGAAACCAGAACCCAAAAGAGGTAAAAGGGTACCACTGGGCTACCGAGATATCGAATCTTCCCGGAAGAGTACACTAAGCCCCAAAAAGTTGGAAACCTTCTTAAGGACAAATCGTGCTGGGATTCCCTATACTTTACTGTTAGGGATTGAGGCTATTGAGTTTCCAACTTTTTGGCTTCTACTATAGGTGAACGAACTTCCTCCAACGCCGGCCCTACTGAAGGTCCTTGAGGATGAAGACCTTGTCTACGTTCTTCCCGCCCTGCCACGCAGGAAAGGGGGGGTTCAGGGACCCGAAGCCCTAAACCCTAACCCTAAACCCTAAACCCTAAACCCTAAACCCTAAACCCAAAACCCAAAACCCAAAACCCTAAACCCTAAACCCTAAACCCCAAGCCAGGGTTAGGGTTTGTGTTTGGCAGGGTGCAGCCTGGAAAGCTCGGCTCGAAGAACTTTGCCCAAACCCTAAAGGCCCGAAACCCTAAATCTCTTTGCTTACACCCCACCCCAAGTGCTACCTTCTTAAGAAGTGCTGGTGTGTGGAGCCCACAGTTACGCTTGGAGTCGTTCGAATGTAGCAGGAAAACAATGAGACCGAGGGTTTAGGGTTTCGGGTAAAGAGCGCGCCCATGAAATTTCATGTAGACGCCGGCTGTATCCTGCTTGATCTTGGTAAAATCCCAGACCCGAATCCTGAAGCAACACCCTAAACCCCACACGCTTTCCCCAATATCTCCGCTGCCTCAGTCACCTTCTTGGAGTACTGGAAGTCGTAGGTCACATGATGCTCATCCTCCCACATTCAAGACTTGGGCGGGAACCAAGGTAAGGACCTTATGTCTAAAGTCGGGATTCCAGTGTTCTTGCGCTGCTTGTTTAGGGTTCCCTATCCAGCCCTTTGCTTGGCCTAATATATAGGGGTGACAAGCGATTACCATTATTAGTATTGATTCCGACCCCCATAAGCCTTATAAATCCTAAGCTGATCAGAATGCGCCTCTTTGTTGACGCGGTGGATGCGACCCCGCTGCCACTCCCTGCTGTCCAGCAGTGCCCACACGGGCATGTCTTGCCTTGGTTTTGACAAATGGGAGCTAAGGGTTTAGGGTTTGTAGGGCTTAGGGTTTAGGAATTTGGGTTTGGGGTTTTTCGGGTTTTTGGGGTTTGGATTTAAGAACACATGCGGAGACAGTCGAAGCCGATTTTGGCCCTGTGTAAAACTGTCCCTGCCGCGCTTCGCAAGGCGCTCAGCGCAAATTTGTCCTGCGGTGTTTCGAAAAAAACTTGATGGCAGACCCCTCCAGACACCGGAACAGTTGCTGAATCCTGCTGAAGCCGGCAAACTCGTCTTCCCCTGCCCCCCCCCACCCCCCGCCCCCCTGCCCGTAGTGTCTCAGGCATGTTTTGGGACTTTATTTGTCTACAGATTAGTAGTAACTACCCTCATAAATAGTAGGCTGGAACCATCAAACTGCAGGTAAAGAGGGTCCCAGGAAACAAATTGAGGGCACAGGTCTTAGGGGGCGTTGTTTTCTTTGCCATTCTAGGTTTGGGTTTTGAGGGTTTAGGGCTTTAGGGTTTCGGGCTTTAGGGCTTAGGGTGGGCTTGGGTTCTGTTGGCTGTACTTCTTGCCACGCGCTGCTTTGGGTTTTGGAGTTTTAGGGTTTAGGGTTTCGGCTCTCGCACTCGCACAGCGCAGGCAAGGACTAAGGGTTTAGGTTTTAGGGTTTAGGGTAAGGAGGTCTTGCATGCTGCAAGGCTGCATCACGCATCTAAGCTTGAATGTTACGGTCCATCTTGGCCCGCAATGTGTGCAAAACCACAGGGTGGGTTTGGAGCGTTTCCTGATGTGGTGTCTGAACTCCGAACTAACCAAGCCTGAAATTTGCTCAAGCGGCCACAACTCTTCGGCGAAGTCCTGGGTCTGTTTGAGAGATTAGGTTCAGGGTTTCGGGTTTAAGTGTTAGACAAACGGTGTTAGGGTTTCGGGTTTCGGGTTTCCGGGGGCTTAAAGGGGTTTAAGGGTTTAGGGTTAGAAGCGTGGTGCAGGTTCCGCGGCGCAGTTAAGTGCATCGTTGGGGTTCAGATGTTCAGAGGGCTGGGTGAGAATTCAGTCATCAAACCCTAAACCCTCGACACCCTTTCTTCACATCCTGAATCTCAAACATCCTTAACCCTACAGTACACACCTTAAACCCTAGAAGCCCCAAACAAGAAATACAAGGCCGAGGGAACCTTCTCAGCACCCAGCCCATAACCTGAATTCTGAGGCCATCTTGGTGCCAAATTTCTCTGATGACCTCCCGGTATGCCTCGGTGTCGCCAACCTTGCGAAAACAGGTTGCAAACGGGGTCCATGCACCTTTGTGCGCACCAACCCCCGGCCAACCGAAACACTACAAGTAAGTTACACCCTAACCTATACACCCTAAACCGTTAACCTCAGGAGGGGTGTCCCCGGGATAGGGGCACTCTTTCAATTTGGGGTTCCTACGCCTGAGTTGTGCTTTAAAGCCTTTAAAAGCTGATCTGTGAATAGGTTCCCTCAAAAAAAAGAAGGGGATTAACAACAATCCAATGCACAACACAAACAATACAGTATGGATTCTAGGGGGCACCCTTTGAATTTGGGAGTTCCTACAATAAGGCCCCGGAACGCTGGATTCAATAAGGGCTTTAAGCATTTTGGGATATCTTGGGTGCATTGTGGGTGCCCTGATTTGGGGAAATGCCCAAAATCATAGAGAGCCATTTCAGCCATTCAAACGCTCAGGAGAACAAGAAAGAAGAAGGTTTAGGGTTTAGGAGTTTAGGAGTGTAGGGTTTAGGCTATAAACCCTGGGCCCGACTGTCAACCTTGCGATGTTTTGGCCTTATTCAACACATGCCCTAAACCCTAAACCCTAAGCCCTAAGCCCTAAACCCTAAACCCTCACTGGCTGCTTTCCGCGCAGTGCCTCGTGGCCATGCGCTCCTGTGAGCACCAGGAAAGGAAGTCGAAATGGGAAAGGGCTCCGTTTGTCACATAGCAAGGGGCTGCATACAATATTTTTTCGGAAGCCTAATCTAGACCCATGAGTAACCTAGGAATAAAAAAGGGTGCCCTTTTGGGTTTTAAAGGGGATTATAAGGGAGCCCCCCAACCCTCAAAAAAGGAAGGAAACAAGGGCCAACTCCGGGTCCTAACTAATGTTGTGCTCCCTGCCACTAAGCGAAACAGGACCTCAGCACTCGGACATGTGACGCACAGAATGTCTCCTGTATCCAGCTGCAAATTGACGCACTGCTGCATGATGTCGACCTGTCCGCGCTGACCAGGGCGGTCTCAATCTGGGTCACCACTGTGCTACGGCGAATATGTGAAAATCTACGTCTTGCTGGTGCTACATCTCTTCAGACTCGCTATTTTTGTAGTTCTCCAAGAATCCTACGAGGGGAGCTTCTCCCGAATGACCTTCAACAAGGTACGCTGTTGAAGGTTCTTGAGGTTTAACCTGACCTCCAATCATGGCCCCCATCTCGCAGGCACCAGGTAAGGGTTCAAGGCTTGGTCCCTTTTTTCAGTGTCTTTACGACTTAAACCTTATAAGCCCTAAACCCTAACACGAATCGATTCCCTGTAGTTTCAAGGAAAGGCACAAGTAGACATTCTTTGGGTCAGCCCAAGGTGTGCCCCTCTTCGGCTCAAAGCTTAGCAGTCCTGCGACTGGAAGAATACAGGGGTCGGAATAATTATGAGCAGCACGGTCCCTAAATAATTCACTATTAGGGGGTTTAGGGTTTAGGGTTTAGGGTTTAGTGTAACCCTCCCAAAATCCAAGCCCCCATGAGGGCGGCTGGGGCATTGTAAGCACGGCCCACAATATCTGCGGCAGGCTGGGCTTTTCTCTCCTGCAATGCTTCTTCTCGCCCTCTTTCTAATTGAGGAAAATCTGCCACAGAGTTTGTGACATTGACAAAGCTTGCAAGAGCTAAAATCGGCCGCGCGCCGAGTGCAAAATCAACAGCCGATGTAAAACGATATCACCACGGGGTGGTGCAGCAAACAACACAAAAACCACGCACCCAAAGCCCCGGCTACAGTTCTTACACCAAGTCATGAGAGATACCTTGGATCCCTAAACCCTAAACCCTAAACCCTAAACCCTTAGGTGATCACGGTGGGCTTCTCACGCCCGGTGTAGGACTTCAGGCTGGAAAGTTGCAGGGCCACGTCTGCCAGTGGCTGGACCACATCGAACTGGTGCAAGCTGAGGTTGCCTGGGTTTAGGGTTTAGGGTTTAGTGTTTAGGGTTTAGGGTTCAGGGTTTTAAGGTTCTAAAGCCTTGGTTTGGAGATTTGGGAACTCGGGAGTTCATGCGAGGTACGGTTCCCTCTGGGTGCCCGCATGCAAGGATTCATAAATCTAGAGAACTGCCCAGGTAGGGTTTAGGGTTCGGGTTGAGGGTTTAGGGTTTAGGGTTGAGGGTTTAGGGTTTAGGGTTTCGGGTTCAGGGTTTAGGCTTGTCCGACCTAGTTCGAGCCCCCACACCCGGAACCTTGGAGTAAAGCTCCCAAAGCCTAAGCCGCCCAAGCCCTCCTGGTACAAGGCCCGAATATTCGAACTCAGGGTTGCTCCAAACTAATATAGGGGCCTTCATAATTAGAATAGTTTTTTTTTTTTTTTTTTGGGGGGGGGGGGCGGGGTTACTATTGTATCTTTCTTAAGGGACCACAAGGAATACGAAGTTAAGTACAACAAAGGTACTTAAGACAAGGAAAGACGCACAACGGGCACGCCTATTTTCCTTGAGCCAAAATACAATCAGTCATCCGAATCTGCTCTCCTAACCCTACTTGGTATGTACAGCTAAACGGTGGTTTGGGGCCAGTTTAGTTAACTCCCCCCTTTAGGAGACAGAACGGTGAGACTGGAGCAGATTGAGGGCAGGTTGAAACCTGCGCTCAGTAGTGTTGCGCGGTCTGAAGGACTCAAGCGCTCGGCATTTCTGATCAGGAATGCTATGGCAACGATTCGTTCTGAAGCCTCACATCCTGTCAGGACTGTGCAGTGGCGTGCTCTGGGATTGAAGAGTGCAGGGTTACACAACATGTGACCCCATAGGCTGTCGTCGTTTGGACATTGGACAGTCCCTTCCTCATCTTCTACCCACAATATGGGTCCACTTGTTGGATTTAACGCTACAAGGAGGTTCTTTGAGCCTTCTGCATTGTTGGAGTCTCGGTGGAGCCCCGCGACTACACCTTGCTGCACGATTATGCTTGAGAACTTGTGTGATGGCATATAACGTCGAAAGAATCGACATATCAACGCCGTTGCATATTGAAATTTGTGTGTGTTTGTCTGCAGGCCAAACACTCCTCCTAAGACAAATGCGCCCGCAGAAAATACATGCGAGTCGTGCCCCGGTGCCCCCCTCTTATCAGGACCATGAGGTAACAGCGTCAGTAGCTGCACCAGATGCTGACAAGTCGGGACCTTTGGGCAACTGCCTGCGAAGACTTCTGCGGCAAGATTTGCCTCTGCAAGTGCGGCGACGGCAGTTTCCAGGTGGGGTCCATCGCTGGATGCTGTCAAGCCAAACTGTGCGAGAGTATGTGGCCATTCTGCAGGTGGAATGACTTTTGTTAGGCCATTAGCTATCTGAGATTCGCTCTTGCAGTACACGGCAGTGACTTGTGGCGACTCTAGCTGTTCAGACATTGATGCAATGTTGACCCTGTGGACTCGATTGCAGTGTCTCAGCTTCGCCGAATAGCCTGTAGCCAGGACTTTGAGCAAGGTCTCGTTGTCTTGATGGAATACGACGTCGATAGCACGACCGAGGAGATGCTCCATCATGACCTGAATGTTCAAAGCCTCACCAAACATGGCGGAAGCCATTGCTATGGCCTCAGCCTCGGGAGTGCTTCTTGCAACACTCGTCTGTTTCTTAGATGCCCACCACAGCGGAAAGCGGAAATCTGTTGACCCTATAGTCATGTAGATCCCGCTCGTCGATTTTGCACTATGCGGACAAGAGGCGAAATCACTGTCAGTGAAGATGTGGATCTGGGGAGCTTCGTGATGGTTCACAGTAGCAGCTAAACATAAGCCTGTTGTACCGTGAAGATACGAAATCAGGCGAAGTAACTGCTTGTCTTCCCATTTAGTCCACGCGGCCACTCGTGACGCTAACCGACCGATTATGAAACACAGATCAGGGCGAGCCAACCGACCCAGCCAAAGTGCTTTCATAAGTACCTTTGCAGCTACATGGCTCAGTGTGCCGGGTTGCTGCAGGTCCTCATCTGACATTAACGCCTCGGACAAACTTGGGGTTGTGACGTTACGGAGCTTTGCCTTTGGGACATCAGCAAGCTCGCAGTACGCCTCGACGACCTGCTCTGCGAAAGCAGACATATCAAGCACAAGAGTTGTGAAGTCACTGCCTCGTTGGATTCGGTGACCTCTGCCAAGGATCCGTGCATTCGAGGCTTCGATGTAACATTCGTCTTCCAGCTTGATATGCGCTCTCAGCCTTTTCCAAAACTGTGCATGAAGATGCTTTGCTCCCGACAACGTTAGGTCATCTACATACACGTTAAGTAGCAGGGTATGGGAACCCATTTGAAAGATGAAGTTTGAAGGAAACAAATCCATCTCAATGCCACCAAAGGAAGTGAGAACAGAGGCTAGGTGTTTCTGCCATAGTTTGCCAGCAAGCGGATGGCCATATAAGCTTCGCTTCAACCTTACCACCAACTTCGACCCTGATGGGTACGCTTTGTGCCATGTGTCCAACCACAGCTCCTCGGGGAGGATAACCCATGTGTCGGGCTCTCCTGCCTCAGCGAGGTCAGCTTGAAGAAATGCCTGAATGGCATCTGCAAGGCTCACTGCGTTTCCATCTTGGCAGCCGAAAAACAATGCGATGTTAAGGGCAACCAAGGAAGTTGGTGTGGTAGCCACGTCTTCAAAAAGAACATGGTTTCCGAACTGGTCAAAAATGCAGTCCCCCCTGTACACGATTCTCCCTTTGAACTTGTGTTCATGCTCAGGGAGTTCGAAATGTTTTATCCCACATAATGTGAGAAGCTCTGCAATTTTGAGTTTACGGTTTTGCCGTTTTGCATCGGCACGCAAGGAAGACAAAAGACAGACTGTCAAATCATCCCACGTTCCGTTAGAACGTAACCCTTCTGCCTCCTTCTTCACGGCTGCAACTCCGCGCGGGTCTGCTTTCCATTCCCGCTTTGTTAAGTTCTTCGTGACCATGGAGGGGATGTGGCGATGGTAGCGTTGCGGATACCACGCTTCGACGATGTTGTGAGCGAGCTCTCGTGGGTATGCTTCAGTCTGCTTTGTTTGTGAGCCTTCGGCGGCCTCGTGCTGGTGGCTACCGTCACATTGCAGTTGTCCAAGAAATTGAACAAGTCGCAGATCATTAGTGGCTACGCTCCAGGGCTTGCGGATTGGATGCTCTCGGCCCTTCACTCCAGCCATGCAGCCATCAAAAGACACTTTGTGTAGACCATGTTCATCCTGAAATTCTTTCCATTCAGGGAGATCCCACCAGCCGGACCCTTTGGGCCACTCGACTGCAATCCTTCCATGATTTGCGATGGCAGTTGCGAGTACCTTGCGGGCATACAAGAACATAAGCTTGCTCTTCTCTTGGCGATTCCGAAGACCCTTTTCGTACTTCGCCCCATGCCTATGGACGTTCATGTTCTGCCACGGACTGAACTCGGTGCACGGCAATGAGAGCCACACATCACAACCTGGCGATGCTTCGACCTGACCTTGAACTTGTTTGACATGTTCTTCGTTGGACAAATCAATCATGCTTCGGCATAAGCGGATACTGTTGATGCCAATTTCGGATGCAGCTTGCGAAAGCTCTGAACTGTCGCCACACGCATATTCGAACAACACATCCTTGCCTATGAGCGTTTGCACCTTTCTTTGGCGGACTCTTTCCCTGTTGGCATCGACAAAGACTTGCGTCACACCGAGCTCGACCTTCGCAACAAGACCTTCTACAGCGGGCTCACTCGAAGGGTGGAGACCAACGCCTTCGGGGAGCTCAGCTGGAGGAACTGGCTCAGGGGGCTTGGACGTCAACGCAATCCTATCAGCCTTTATCAGGGCATCGAATCTTGCTCGGCATTTAGGACTATGCTTCACGGAATCGAAAGTGCACGCTTTGCATCCTGGTGTGGCACCGAACTTAAGAATGCGTTCAAGCGTAATGTACTCTGCGCGCCTTCGAGGAGGATCAGCAGGGGACAGTGAGCTGAATGGTATGTCCAGCGCTGTGATAGCCTCAAGTTTGGGATCCTGGAACTCGCGAAGAGCAAGATCCGCCGCGGCCTTTAGCGGGAAGGTCTCAGTCTCTGGGACATGCACTTCCGCATATGGCACGGGGATCATGTCCCTATACCCAATCGACTTGGACTTGACGGCTTCATAGTCTAGCACCCAGATCACGTCACGATACACAAATCCGTGCTCAAACCTCCAACCTGCAAATAGTCCGGGAGCAGTTGTAGCTTCGAACTTATGCCTGCGGCTGGGGTCATGGATCCTGTAATGCACCAACTGTCCCAAGGGAAGCCTTGGGCCTTCGAATGGGGAACCAGTTGCAACCTCGAAACGCGACTTGTCTTTGCCCTGCCACGGTACAACTGTCAAAGTCTGCGCGGCAAACTGCACGGACACATGCCACAGATCTGGAACCACATGGAACCCAGCAGCCAAATGCACCGCGCGAGTCGATTCCTCGAGAGTTCTTATCTCTCTCTCAAGTTGGGCGTTGTGTGGAAATCTGTTTTCTAGGGTCGCTTCATGCACCCATCCTATTTGTGAGACGGCAGCTATTAACTCCTTTGCATCATCAGCCTTACACAACACGTTCGGGAGGTGCTTGTATCGGGCGCCTACAAAGGTAAGGAGGTTCTGAGCTGCTCTCTCAGCTGTGCGCGCACAGACAAAAGCTCGCAGTGCACCACTATATTCATCCCTGATGACATGGACTGCATGCTCACGCTTCGAAGGGATTATATAGTCTGTTGCAATCCTCTCGCCAAACTGTTCAACAGGAGGCAAGTCACCTCTGTCTTCGAGAGGCTCTGCACGCTTCTTGGTGACTCTTTGTCGATACATGCGGCTTCGCTGACATATCTCACAGTAGGGATTCTTAGGGATATGCGTCAACTTGTGTGCCATTGAAGAGGCCTCCTTGATGAGTTGCTTCTGACGTTCTGATGTCACGTCC